CCTTCACAACTAGTGCTTTGATGAAATTTAGAAGTTCCTCTCACATAATTTACATCATTTCTTCTGCCAGAATCATAAATAAGAGGAGCTAAAAATATGACATTATTATTGTTGACAAGAACCGCAAAAGAGGAGAAATTTACTCAGTTGGCAACAATCCCATCAGTTAGTTATTCACAGCTCTTTGCCCTAATTTTTCTGCACCATACTTTGTCTCCCCTGACTGCCTGGGGTCGTAGTGGAAAGACGGCTGGACTTAAGAGTCAGGAACACTCGAGTTAAAATCTTACTAGCAGCTTACTAGCCACTTACTAGAAATGTGACTCTGGGGAAGCCATCCAGCCTCTATAAACCTCAAGTTTCCCTATCTGCAAAATGGGGATACTAATACCCCCTACCTCACAGAAATGTTGTGAGTAACAAATGAAATAACATCTACAAACGCTTGGAGAACATTAAAGCGACGTCTAAATGTGAGCTCTTATTATTGCTATTATTAGAGACTTCCAGGGAGCAAAATGCTTGCAGTCACTGTGGCTGAGTAGAATACTGCCACAGTGTGTATCCACAAGTTCTTTCTCATCATGATTGTTCTCTAAGGAATAAAAAAAAGTTTCTGCTAAAGGATTGAGAATGAGTGGGTTTTTACAGCAAGAATGGAGACTTTCCCAGTCTTCTTGTATTGACTGAGCTGATAGTAAATAAGTGACTTCTGAATCTTTATGTCTCTTGTGTTAGGACTAGAAGCTTAAAAAGGCAAGAAATTAATTACTGAAATATATCTGAAAATTTACTGTAAAATTTGGTAGTCCTGATGACTACAAATAAAATTAATTTTTAAAAATGCTCATTTTATTCTTTAAAGAGACCTCTGATACCAGTTAATATTGTTTTGTTGCATTTTGAAATGCATTCATAGTACTCTTTGGACCAAATATTTAGATCTCTTAGCACTTTATATTCTTATGAGAGTCAAGTAGACCTGAGTGCAAATTCTGCCTCCTCTGACACACCTTTTCAGTGCCAGGCAAATCTCTAAGACTCTAAGTTGTGGAGATATCTATTGATAGGAGTTTATTCACTTGAAAAGTTTTCTTCATATTTTTCCTATATGAATGAAGTCCTGGGCCCAGTTCCATCATTCCTCCTGTGGTATAATTTATGCTTCTTTAGGGGAAGGAAGGGACTAGATTTTATCAATATCTGTGGTTCTTCCAAAGCTCAGCACAGTGAAGTACATATAATTGACTCAATAAATGTTTGTTCCAGCAGTCCTCTCAGGACAAAGTGCCATATTAAAGAATCGGGACTCTTTCCTTTCTCTCTCTCCTGATTCAGAGACTAGCTGCAGTTTTTAAGCCCTCCTTCCCAACCAAAATCTTTTTAAGAACATCCCCTGTATAGCACTTTCAGCACCAGTGATGCTGTAAAAGCCTTGTTTCTTTGCTGCTTGGTGGGATCTTCCTTCTGTAGCTGAGAAAGGCAGGCAGCTCTTGTCCACAAGCTCTGAATTCTGGAGCTATGGCTTGCTGCTGGAATGAGCCAAGTTGTCACAGCTAAATACTCCGAAGCAGGGTTGCTAGCAGCTTGCTGAAACCTTCCTATTTAAGGGTAGGAGAGGAAAGAGCAGACAATGTTGATGCTGTATAGAGAGGGAAGTAAAGCCTGGAAAGGCCCTTGGCTTTCAGCTCCATAGTGAGCTTGGGGAGGAAAGATCAACTTGTCTTACTGATGAACTAGTTATTCTGTTCCTATCTAGAGTAGTGTACCTCACAAGTATCTCTCTGAAGTTGTCATGGAGGAGAGGGAACTGAAGAGCCAGTCTGTTTTACTAATATGTGTGTACTTTATATATACATATATTTTAGTGAGGCAATTGGGGTTAAGTGACTTGCCCAGAGTCACATAGCTAGTAAGTGTTATGTGTCTGAGTCTGGATTTGAATTCAGGTCATCCTGACTCCAGCGCCAATGCTTTATCCACTGCGCCACCTAGCTGCCCCACTAATTTTTTTTTTGTAGGCAATTGGGGTTAAGTGACTTGCCCAGTGTCACACAGTTAGTAACTGTGTCAAGTGTTTGGTCTGAGGCCGGATTTGAACTCAGGTACTCCTGACTTCAGGGCTGGTGCTCTATCCACTGCGCCACCTAGCTGCCCCCCCACTAATATTTTTTTAAATACAAAAAAAGTATGCTTATTATTATAACATTGGTGACTACAGCTGAGCCAAATTTTGTGACTTCTGGGAAGCCCTGAATTTTGTGAAAGGCCCAAATGATCAAATTTCTCATTCTGAAATTTATAGTGAGACAGAATCATGTATTTGGTCCAGAATAAGCACAGTGGTCCTTTTGGCTTGTACAAAGTCACTCATGTAGCCTTTGGCTGGGTAAAGTCTAGCTGTTCTCCTTTTCTGCTGTCAGCCCTTGGAAGTAGCCAGCAAGCTACTCCCTGAATAGTTTGGTTCTGTTCCATCCTACTGCAGACCATAAAGTATTTCAATCTAGATGTGACTCGGATTCAATATTCAGGAAACCTTTATTTTCTTCTTACAGGTTTTAAATCTGATTCAGTAGCTATGAATATAAAAGTATGCATATGCTCCCTATTCTTGGACTCTAACAAGGAAAATAAAATTATAAGCATCTGAGAACATAATGTTGTAAATTATATGACATCAAGTCAATTAAAAATACCCAAGCACTGATTCCTATTAATCTATTTTCTTAACAAGCTAAGTAATGACTCTTAAAACTGATCATTTCATAGACTCCTTTAGTGTTTCTATGGTACACCCTCCCTCTGGGCTAGGGTCCCTCTGACTAATTTGAGGACACCACCAATAAACAACTCTTTTTCAGAATCAAATAGTTGGTTAGAGTTCCTCAGCTAAAGTTTTTATGACACCTCAAAAATCACCTTATATTTCTCCTAGGGAAGAATAACAATTGGCTAAAAGATGGGTGACTTTAAACTATACTCCAAAGTCATTAAACTGCATACTTTTTGATACAGTGATACTATCATTAGGCATATTCCACAAAGAAACCAAAGGACGAGGAAAAGAGACCCATTTATACAAAAGTATTAATAGTAGCGCTTTTTATTGTAGGAGAGAACTGGAAACTAAAGGGGTAGTCCTCAGTTGGGAAATGGCCCAACAGATCATGTCATATAAATGCAATGGAATGCTGTTATGTCAACATTCCATACTTCTCCATTGAAAATAGTCCCATTATATTATAGGGGAAACCAAGGCCCAGAGAAAATGAATTGTTCAATACCTCACATAGTAAGGAGCAGAGTTATGAATCAAACCCAGGATTTCTGCTCCAAATCCAATGTCTCAACCACCTCGCTGTTACCCTAGAAAAATTTCCTAAATGGAGTGCATATGTTCCTATTATCTTACGATAAACCCTTTTTTGGTTAATTTGTGAAAGGTCATGAGGTGTTGCAGTGAATGGCTTTGTTAGTGGAGGAGTACCATCATTCATTTGGGAATGGGCACACCTAATCTCATTCTACCATACAGACTACTCCTCTATATAAAGTAAGGGATGCCTGTCTCTTCTTCGCTTCTAATGGGAGATGATTATACCCATCTTTTTATTCCATGAGAGAGACTTGGGGCTGCATTTCCATTTTATGTTAACATTTCCATACCAAGTTAATTCTGCCCTGGTTATTTTCCCTGCTGTAGATGATGTGTTTATTTTTAGCCATCATGTGATCCTCCGGTATTTTCCAGGCACTGCTTGAGTCACTCTCATTTCAGAGAACACTTCAAAGAGAAAAGATGCAAAAAATTCTTCCCATCTCAAAGTATCTCCATAATTTTAAATTCTAAATATTTAAATCTATTTGCACACATTATGTATCTCTTTATTACAATCCTAACTTTTCATGCCTCTCATCTCTTAGCAGAACATTAAATTTCCTTTGAAATACTCACATTAGGTACTAAACCTTATGACCTTCTGATTTCAAATCCTTTATGATATTTTTTTTCACAGAACAATAGAAATGGCAAAGAAGCGCCCCAGAGGGCCCAGCCCTCAGGTGGGCATGGCAGCATTCCTTTGGGATGCATGTCTGTAGCCTATTCACTCTGGCAGCAGGGAAATGCAGGCACTCTAAGTGGAGCAGTTGAAAGGACTGAATGAGCAGCATGGAGCTGACAGATTGAACAGGAACTAGACACATGGATGTTGCTGTGACAACGCCTTCCATGGGCATCATCGCACTGGCATCAAGCCTCAGTTAAGGGGGGAGAAAAAAAGCCCTGAAACCTAAAATGGTGATAATTTTAAAATCTGAATGATTTTCCCTTCAGGTACAAAGATGGCCCTGCCCACCAGCAGTCTGTAGAGAATGAATTTTGAGTTTTTCCTCTGAAGTAGTTCACTCAGACTCTCTGATGACTAGTGGCATACATTTCCCAGATGACTGGCTGGGTTTATAGTCTATAGCCACAGGATAGGGCCTAAACAACACCCCCAATCTCATCAGCACTATGGAGAACCAAATGGCCAAAGGCTAATTTGTTCCCCCAAAATGAAGCTTTCTTACAATTGAGGGTCATTGATCAAAAGGACCATAATCTGAAGAACTGGAGCTTAAAAAATAAAATGAAAATTCAGTCTCTCTTGAGCTCGTGTATATGTTTGTCTTGCCAACTTTCTTAGCTTTGGTGTAAGATATTAGGAGGAAAGATGATTAGTCTCCAGAAACTCTTTATGCCTCAGATTTAGAGCCCTACTTTTCTTGACCTACATGGACGTGTTAATAATCATTCAGCAGTGCATCAGCCTGGAAAAAATGCTTCTGAAGAGCCTCTGAAGCAGCAGAGACTAAATTGTTTTCTGTTGATAGATATTCCCTTGAACACATCAGGTGACACATAAAGGCATCCAGAATAAAGGATAGCAAGTCCATGGACATTCTGTACCATTCCACAGAACAAATTGGTACAAAGCCCCTGCTCCTGTGGGCCTGGTACAAGGTTTCACATCAGGTACCGATGGCAGGAAGCCAGGCTGATACTGAGATGGTGAGTGAGGGCAAACTTGTCCAACAACATTCAAGGAGCTAGCCATGCAACCTATCAACATTAATACAAACATATTGGACACCTGCATCTTTGTGACTTGCACTGCAAGCTTTTGAGTAAAGGAGGCTGCTGGTACTAAGTAGGATGACTTCCTTCCCAGGTCCATATGTTACAGTAGTTCTGCCCGTGGCAACTCAACTATTCTCAAGTTTTTGGGTAAGTAGAATTTGGAAAACAAAAAATATCTACTTAGCTATTTGTCTAAGAGCTTGGTTTTTGATCCTGAAGTCATGAAGACAAAAGCTTGAATGGAAAGACACAATCAGAAGGTAGTGGCTTCACCTACCCATCTAGGAAACAAGAGATTTGGGTTTTAAACTTGTCTCTGCTACTAATTAATTGCATGGCCTAAGGCACTCACATAGCTTACCTTTTCTGTGTCTCAGCTTCTCCATCTATTAATGTGGGGGAAATGTCTTTGAATTCCATAGAAGAAAGCATATCATATGTGTATTGAACTCGCCACTATTTGTTTTAGTGTCTCAAAAAATGAAAGGCATTCCAATAGAACTCTTTTCAAACCAGAGCAATAAGGTTCAACTGCCTCTTTGTCCACACACTCAAACAGTTTTCTCTTGGTTCCTGACAACCCACAAATTCCAACCATTCAATAAGAGCAAAGAAAGAACAGAACTGATTTTGTGTTGCTAGGAGTCAGTAAGATGTGGCACTTTGATTTTATTTCTGTGCTCTTCAGTTTGGGTCTTTTTTTCTTTAAAAATGGCTTTATGAAGGAAAAAATTACATTAGAGGCTAGTGCTAAAGGTGATATGTACAAAAAATAGAAGACCTAGCCTCTGTAGGGTTGTCAACATCACAGCTTTCGGTAAGTACTGTACATTTTTTAGTAGAAAACTATATAGCCTCATACTTTTATTTGCTCTCAAGAAATGCAAATATTTTAAGCAGCAAAAGATACTATTAGTTGTTTTCTATGGGACAGATTTGCCTTGGTGATACTAAAGCTGTTAGAGAACTGAAGAAATTCTGTATCTGCCTGGGAAAGATTCCCCTGCTGAGGTCAAGAGGTCCCTACAGAGAGTTCCATTTGCCCCTCTCTCCCTGACTTCCAAACAGCCAAGCAGCCCACCACAACTTCAGAATGTTGGCAAGGAGTAGCATTAGCTGAAATCTTATGCAGCCATTTTCCTTGTTAGCTTAGTGGTGAGTATCTGATATTCGACAGGAAGAAAAAAGTATCCACTGAACCACAACTAATTCCTTTATTAAATATTATATGCTTCCTCAATATGCTCAAATCTCATCTCTAAAGTTCTACTCGGAGGGTTGGAGAAAATAAACTTTGCACAGAGAACATATCCAGTTCTTCATCTGAAAATTACCATCAATGTTCATCCACATTGCCATCTATCAGATTTAGTTAAAACATTGCTAATATTTCATCATAACATAATCATCAGGTTTTTCTCCTTTATTTATTTATTTTTTGGCTTTAGAAACAATCAAATATTGAAGCTGAAATAATGAAACTCCAAAAGGAAAGAGAAAAAAGCTTAGGTGCCAGTTTCTGTAACAACTACTGTACTTTATGTGAGTATAACATAAGTTTACATATTTTATTTGGCTTCTGTCAGAACCATAGATTTGAATTTTCTTATAAGTTTATAATTGTTCTGTGCCAGGCCTGGAGTCAGGAAGACTTATCTTCCTGAGTTCAAATCTAGCCTCGGTCACTTACTAGCTTTGTGACTCTAAGCAAATCACTTACCCCTGTTTGCCTCAGTTTCCTTATCTGTAAAATGAGCTGGAGAAGGAAATGGAAAACCACTTCAGTAGCTTTGCCAAGAAAACCCCAAATGGGGTCATGAAGAGTCAGACATGACTGCAAACAACTAAATAACAACTAAAAAAACCTAATCTCTAGTGATGACCATCTCAACTTGAGGTTTTGGCTCAGACTAATACAACTTAGAAACATCAATAACTCCAGCAATTGTTGCATTTACTGGACACCTATCATATAAACATGTCCCTGGTTATCAGATCAAAAGTCATAAGGATATTCCCTTTCAAGATACCATCCTTCCAAGTGTAGATGAAATGCAATTCACCAGGAAATCATAAACTCTGATTTGGTATCTGCTGTTTACCCCAAACCATGTTATATCACAGGTTAATCCTGGGTCTGGCTGAGCTGTTTCAGTATGCAAAGAAGCCAAGTCGTTTGATCAGCTCCACTGGAACTTAACATTGGCACAGGACCTAAGATTTCACTATTAACATGGGAACTCTCATTGAGGAACTTCTATTCCTGAGGCAGATAGATACCTACCTGCTCTGCTCCTTAAGAGTCTCAAAAGGTTGGCTGGGGCTCTGAAAGGTTAAGTACCTTGCTCAGGGCTACGCAGCTGGCATACCCTCTGGCAGAGGAAGGGCTGGTACCCAGGTCTTTCTCTCTATCCACTCAGCAACACGGTCTCTCACTGGCACTGAAGAAGATAATACAATATTCTGATCCCAATGGACAGTTAGAGAAATTTGGAATCTTCCCTTAGAATGGGTAAGGTGGGTGGCACAAACAGACATTTTCACATACACCAAAGGCTTCCTTGGTGAACACAGGAAGCAAAAGCACATTTTGCTGCAGTGCCCAGAAGAGTCCACTCTTGATTATTCACACATTTATGGATTATCTTATTTGTAGCAACTTGTCGTTCTAGGTCTACTTCCCCTTGCAGGATGCCGCTGACCTGACTCCTGAGGCTGTCAGTGTATGTTTGCTCAAAGAAGGTGAACACATTGCAATATTCACCTTAAGCAGAGCACATATAAGGAAGGCAAACAGACTGTAACTTTTTGTTGTTGTTCAGTCGTTTTCAGTTGCATCCAACTCTTTGTGACCCCATTGGAGGTTGTCTTGGCAAAGAGACGGGAATGGTTTGTCACTTCCTTCTCCAGCTCATTTTACAGATGAGAAAACTGAGGCAAACAGAGGTAAGTGACTTGTCCAGGGTCACATAATTAGTAAGTGTCTCAGGCCAGATTTGAACTCAGGTCTTCCTGACTCCAGCCCTAGCTGCCCAGATTATAACTAAGGCATATAACATAGTTCAGACCTAACTAGAAATGCTTCAAGGGATCATCTACTCTTTTAAGTTACGTGCCTCACACCTTGCATCCATAGCACAGACTCCACAAAGCTGCAGCTCTAGAGCAACTAGACTGCCCAGTTCCCATACTCCTCCCACACTCTGCTGCACCTGCTTTCCCCTACATCAGCGATGCCCTCTCCTATATCTCAGCCTTTTCAAATCCTATGTTAGCCTGTAAGACCCAGCCATCTCTTCCAGTGAAGGTAATAAGTAAGAATTAACAATGTATTCCTTAAATAATAGGATATGGAGCCCCAGGGGACCTTAGAGATCACCCACTGCAATGCCAGAATTTTACAGATGAGGAAACTGAGACCCATCTAAAAAGATTTGCCTGGAGTCACACAGGTAGCAAGCAGCAGACCAAGGATTTGAGTGTGCACAGAGGACTCTTTCTCTGTATCACAGGACTCCTTCAGTACTACTACCTATGATGAGTGGGGGTGACCAACAAGAGATTTAAGTGACCATATTTACCCAGTATTGCTGGAAAATGATGTGTTTGATATGAGATAATTTTCTAAGAAACTCATCCATTTAAACATTGAAGTGTCTAAAAAATTTTAACCATTTGAAATGGAAAATTTTTAAAATGTAAAAATAAAACTTTCTAAAACTTTTCCTGGCTTTTTAAACAGATTATAGCCAACATAATTTCAACATTTTTTTTAACAGCTTAGGATTTTTCATCATGAACATTAACCATTATATTTTGATGCAACGCAGCAACGCACGCAGGGATCACTAACATAAATAGGGCTATTTGTCCCTCTCTTGTCTCCCTACTTGGCATCAAGCAGTCAACAGCCACCCTTCATGCTCCTGTAGCCATACTCTGACCTTTTTATAATTTGCTATTTCTAATTTGTTGTGACTCACCCAATCAGACAGCCAAGGGTGTTAGAATCAGTGATTAGGAGGAGTAAAAGGACTCTGAAGAAGGAAGTACATGAGCTTTGGTACATGGACTGACACAGGACCACAGACCAACAGCTTCCAGAAGGGACCTTAGAGGGGAGTTAGTCCAAAAACTCCCTTTTACCAATGAGAAAACTGAGGCCCAGAGATAATGAGCGACTTGCCTAAATTCACACGGCACAAAGTGAAAGAGCTGGGATTTGAACTGACGTTCTCTGACTACAGTTCTAGCACTTTCCCCCTTGTTGTACACTAAGGCCATGGATTATGTTCTTGAAGAATGGTACTTTGCTATTTCCAAATGCTTTCTGAATGTTCCTGACTGTGAGCTCTCCCTGTTATCTAAGTCAACAGTGCTGCCCCTGGCCCTTCTCAACTTTTAAAAATTCTACTCAGTCTTTAAGACTAAGGTGAAATATCACCTGTTCAATAACGCCTTTGCTGATTCTTTCCCTCTTCCCCATCAGAAGTGATCTTTCCTTCTGCTGATACTCATATGAAATGAGTTGCTGAAGAAAGGAGTGACAGGAAAATCTTGGTTTTGTCACCTGTAAGCTGGCCTATGGAGGCTCTTCCATTTGTACATCTATGATCTTCTAAACTAATTACCTGAAATTCTAGAAAAATCAATCAGGAAGGAAAAATCCTACCCATTTGTTTACATGTTGAGCATTCTTTTATCATTCAGGTTCAACAAAACAAAAAGTTAAACAACTTTACCTTCCATACTGAAAACAGAGGTGGTGGTGTGGTAGACAAAGAGATGTCTGAAGAGTCAGGAAGGCCTATGTTCAAGGCCTGCTTCTGACACATGTGACCCTGGGCGGCCTACTTATTCTCAGTACTCCTGGCACCTCTATCTGACTATAGGTTGCCTCCAGGATCAAATGCAAAATCCATTTAGCATTCAAGGCCCTTCATAATCCAGTCCCCTCCCTAACTTTCCAGTATTCTTACATCCCCATATGTACTTTTTGATCCAGTAACACGGGCCTCCTGGTTGTTCCACGAACAACAAACTCCTTCCCTTGGTTTCAGAGATTTTTTCTGGATGTCCCCCATTCCAGGAACACTCTTCCTCCTCCACTCCAACAACTGCCCTCTCTGGCTACCACTGAGTCCCAACTGATATCCCACCTCTTACAGGAAATCTTCCCTAAGCCCTCAATTCCAGGTGCTTTCCCACTTTTAATTATTTACTATTTAATATTCGTTTGTATGTTGTCTCCCCCATTAGACCATGAGCTCCTTGAGGTCAGGGGGCTGACTTTTGCTTCTTTTTGTATCCCCATCACTTAGCACAGTGGCTGATAGATGCATAGTAAGTGTTTACTGATTGACCTGCATTGATACAGGGAGTTTCTTCATCTGGCAGATCTCTAAATTAATGAAATCACATCTAAATTAGTGCTATCCCTGTTACATTTATTCCAAATATGGGATTTACTGGAAGACTTTCCCCTGCTCTGAGATAAATGTGACAGATAAAAATAAATGATAATAAAACCTTGCCCAAAGGAACTTAAAGATCACCTGCTAGAGAGAACCAAGCTAAAAGACAATGGTTTCTAGAACAAAAAAACTAAAATCCTTTTGCTGTGATAGTACCTGCTGTAGGTGAGTTTGCATGGTGAGATTTCTTGGGTAAGTTGAAGATCTGTTCACCAGGGTCAGGTGGGGGAATTGCATCCTGGCCTTGCCGAGCCTCCACGGGGTCATACTCCTTCCCATCATAGTTCGCATCATAGAACTTCTTAAACCACTGGATGAAATCCAAGTTGTCCTGAAAGCGCCCTTTCACTAGCTTCTCCACCGGAATGACCTGCCAAATAAAATCAAATCATGTTTGTTACTTGTTGTCTCCCCCGTTAGACTGTAAGCTCTCTGAGGGCAGGGACTATCTTTTGCTTCTTTTTTGTATTCTTAGCATTCAGCACAGCGCCTGGCAAATAGTAAGCACTTAATAAATGCTTGTTGCCTTGCCTTGTTTGTAATTTGTGACTACTGTTTTCTCTCCCTCAGGTTCGTGTCTTTGAACAGATCTATTCTAGCATCAATGGTTTTTAGCTACTCTCTCGAAGAAGAACCAAACTAAAATGTCATTTTTGGAATAGTGAATACTGCCAAGCAAACCCAGAGTCTGTTTTATAATTCCCTGAACAACTAACTGTGCAGGGATACAGTGATTTCAAGAACATGGCCAGCAGAGAAATCATACTCAAGGGAAGAATCAATATGTGAGACTCAGTCAGGGCTTTCCTCCTGTTCATTATCTGATTTGACAGTCAACATTCCTCCTAGAGGTCTCATGTGAGGTCTCTGAACTGCTCAGAAATTACCTGGTTCTAATCAGCATACGCACGCTTAGTGGGCAGGCAGCAAAGGACTCCCCACACCTCTGAAGACGAATTTGGAACTTCTCTGTAACCAAGATAACTCTTCACCACAAACATTACACAAAAATTACATACTGGGTTGATGGGGAGGGAGAGGCACGACAGAGTTAGAATTTGTGTGTGAGAACTGGACTACATGTGTGGTGTTCGCCTTCTGTCGAGTGAGCAACATTGTTTGAAAACGTGAACTGATACAGTGTAAACTGACCTTACTGTGAGAATCTGCAATGTCAGCAGCTGCTGTGTTTATAAGTGATATACCTGCAGAATCTCATCCTGGATCCATAAAGGTAGAGTGAGCCTTTTAACACATCAGTGACAAAACCTAGGCCACGATGCCAAATACAGGGCTTTCTCCATTATAGCATGCTGCTTCTTAAGTTATCCTGTTAAACTAAATTATGTGCCATGATTTTTTAAAGAATGTTGTGAACAAAGATTCAATGGAAACCAAATTAAGTCAAATAAGACAGACTGATAATTGGAGGGGACTTTAACCCTCTTCATGAAACCTCTTTCTACTCACAGTTAACAAAAACAAAAATAGAAAAAAGCATCCTTACTTTTTCTGAAGTTACCATATTTAAAATACAAGAATTATTAATATCTGTTTTAATTAAGTAGTAGGCATTAATAAACCTTTGTAGATGATGATGATTTTGTACTTAAAGTTTAAGACAATAACCTGAAGAAAACAAATTTTAAATTTAAATCAGAAAATTGGGTTTGTATGACAAGATCTGTAGAGAGCTTTTAGGAAGATAAATTTGGTATCAGTACGTAGGATGGCACAAAGGCAGATGTGTAATTTAACTATCATTATGAGAGGCAGTTGATTCCATACCTCTACCTATGAAAATGTATGACATTCTTTCTTTTCTGCAAATATATTAACCAAGTTCAGAAAAGTGCATCATAGGATGAAAAATGAAGCAACCAGGGCTACTAATTATGAAAAAGTTATTAACTACCTGAATATAGCAAAAACGGATTGGATACTTTAAGTCAATTTTAAGGGATGGCAATGAAGAAATAGTAGGCTGAGGAATAACTGAGTAGAACAAGAAAGGTAGAGAAGTGGAGAGAGAAAGGGAAATCCCAATATTCCACTAATAAGAAAATAGTCCTAGAAGAGGTCAAATGTTGAAGGCAATGGTTCTCAAATTTTTTGGTATCAGAACTCCTCTGCACCCTTAAAAATTACTGAGGACCTCAAAGAGTTTTTATTTATGTGTTACATCTATTGGTATTTACCATATCAGAAATGAAAGCATCTAAGCATTATCAAGAAAATTGCTTTGATCTTAGAGACCCCTTGATAGGGTTGCAGGGGCCCCAGTGGTCCCTGGTCCATGACTTGAGAACTGCTGGTTTAAACCATGAAGGAGAAAATACTATCGTTGGAAAGTAAGTTCCTAAGAAATAGTGTCAAAACTTCTTTGTTAACATTTTCATAAGTCTTTTGTTAGAGACTATGTTATTTTCATTTTGAAAATATATAAAATACACCTACCCCTAATCTTATCACAATTTTAGTTCCCTAGTTCCTTTCTTGATTCTTTATGCCATTCCTGGGCCTAGACAAGTTTAGCATTGTGCAGAGAAAGCTATCCTAGGTTTGAAATCAAACTCTCAGCAGGTTTCCTCATCTGTAAAATGAGGGAGTCAGGACTAAGTACCTACTAAGGCCTTTTCCAGCTTTTAATCTATGACCCCATGAAGTAGACTGCTTCTTTCCTCTTATTCAACACTCCTTCTTCTTTAAGAAAAATTTTGTAATCAAGGAAGATATGATAAGAATGATATTCTTCTCTATAACTTAAGCAACATAACTAATAACGGCTCTTGAGTGCTTCTATCTATATAATAGTAAAAATAGAAAAACTTCTCAAACACAAACACTATTTAAAAATTAAAGCCGGATGGCTACTATTGACTTTTAAAAAAATTGATGTGTAATCACTGTGGGAGCTGAGCTAACTTTTAAATGTCATGTATGGACCTGAGTATTCATACTTTTGACTTTTCAGCTAAAGGCTGACTCCTGTATTTCCTCTATAAAATGATCTATAAGAGCATTTTAAGGTCAAATGACATAGTTTATTAAGTGCAATTCAGTCCCCTACCTTATCAACATTCATTCTTTTAAATGATGCTTGCAGAAGTTTAAAGTTGTGAATATATTCATGCTCCAACTTTGCTTGAAATTTTACTTTCTTCAAACTAATACAGCCTGGGAATAGCATGTCCATGAACTGGCAATAGGCCGCTCCTGAAATAAGAGGAAGAAAGTATTGGAATTAATCTTGATGCACAGAGAGGTGACAAAGTGACATGTATTATCAAGAAGAAAAGTCATCACATTTAAGAGCCCCTTAGAATCCATAGCAAGGACCATCTCATTCCAATGTGTTAAATGCCACCATGGCACTTACACGGTTCTCTCCTCTCCATTGGGTCTGGATGCACCAAGGATTGCTGTAGATTGGTAAAAGAAATGATTATGATGGAAAGAATAGGAGTCACTTTTCCGTCCCCAACTGCTGTATTATCATTTTGACGACACCTGGGAGAAAAGGACTCTAGAACGGATGATGAGAAGGCTTTTTTCGCATGGCAATGAAATTAATGCCTCATTATCTTAACTTCCTGAACTAAAAGAGCCTACTGGTAGCTAGAATATCAGTAGCTACAAGCTCAATTCCTTCATGCTAGCCCTGGCCTTATCCTTAGTCCCAGCCTCCAGCAAATGGCCATACTTATTTTCATTTTTTAAAGTTAGTTTGTTTGAGCCCTGAGTTGCTGAAAGACAGGCATGTGTAGTAGGAAAAAACAAAACTAAACTGGATAAGATGCAGTAAGTATTCTAGTCCCCAGAGCTACTGGCCAAGTGATTTTTCACAGGTGTTCAACCTCTCTGGGACTCAGTCTCCTTACTTGTAAAATGAGGATAATAACATCTGCACGTTACCTACTTTAGTGAAATTATCAAGAAAACAAATGAGATAACGTATGTAATAAGTCACTTTGAAACAGTAAATGCCTTATATGCTTGTAAGCTATTACAAAATGGATAGTTTTGCTTGGTTTTGTTTGTTTTCCTGAAAAGGACTCAGGATATAAGGATTTTTTTTTCTTGGAAAAACTGCCTGGTTTCAATGATTCAGTTTCTTTTTCTTCCCTTTCTGCTCTTAGACTGTGCAGTAAATGTTTTTGTGACAGATGATGATTAAGAATGGATTTCTTTGTCTGTTTTGCCATACTGATATCGGCCTCAGTACATAAAATCAGTGAGGAAGGGCTATGATGACAATAGTCATTGGTCAGCTGAAAATAGGAAATGCTTGGGCAGGCAGCAAGACAAGCTCATGGAGTGAGAGAAGAGTAATGTCTGCTCACATCTGAAGAACTTGTCAGGGTTTGAAAAGTGCTTTCTTGGCAATAAAACTAAAAGGTCAGGAGTAGATGTATTATCACCCCCATTTTACAAATGAGAAAACTGAGGCTCAAAGCAGTTAAGTGCCTTGCTCAGTCACATAACTAGTAAAAGTACCTGCGGCTGAATGATTATCTTCACCTTGCTCTGGTGTGTCCCTCCTCTAGCCAATGACTAGAGCTTAGGGGATTAGGTGATGCAGGATAGGTGGGAGAGAGGGAGTGTTTTTGAGAACATTCTACTAGGGGTGGGAAAGAAGGACTCATGAATTTTGGGGGACCACAGTGCCCTTCCCTGTCTTCTGCACTGAGTTACTCTCTTTTTGGTAGCCATTAACTTGAATGCTTAAAACTTACAATTTCATCTATTTTTATGCTATGACTTTCCTAGCTGCCTAGAACTCTGTAGGTCAAAAAGAGTAGACTTTTTCATAACTGGCAGTATAAAAGTTACTTTTTGAAACCGATGTGTGTGTATACACACATGTATGTCTACATGTATGCAGGTATGTGTAGATATGCATGTATATGTCTACATATCCCTTTAAGGCATTTTTAAAAACCTGGGATGCTTGACAGTGAGATGACAGCACCATGCCTTCACAAACTATACCTCCTTTCTCCCTGCACCACACCTGGGGCCTAGCTTAGTTGTTGCCTTGTCCTAGGGATGATGGCAAATCGGGTTGTTTGGGCTGTTTTGATGCTAGGGAGGCCTCGTGGGTCTGAGCAAGCCCCCAGGTCACTCTATATCCAAAGGGTGCCTTTGGGATTTGGTTTAGGGCACACATGGTGAATGAAGCATGGCTGAGCCTTTCCTGAAATAGTGGTCCAGGAGAGGCACTCACCAAGAAGGACAGTGAGGTCTCGGTGGAAGTTTCTCCAGGTCTAAAAGTAGGGAGTGAAAACATACACACATTGGGGCACAAGGTAGAAAATGATGTAGAGCAAAGAAGACTTCACTTCCCAGTGGCACCTGAACTTTGAAAGAAGATAGGGCATCAGAAAGGCAGATGAGGAGGGATGAATTCCAGGCATGGGAGACTGCTTGAGGGAATGCATGGGAATGTGAGATGGCATGCCAAGTTCAGGGAATTCAGGGGAAATTCTTAAGTTTTTTTTTTAAATATAAACTCTGTTGTCACATTTAACTCAGCCTGAATTGTGCTGATTTTTCTAACCTAAGTATAGGACCTTACATTTATCTTTATTAAAATTAATTTTATTAGCTTCAGTCTATTATTTGGAACCTATTTCTGTAATTATTAGTTAGCCTAGATAATGTGTTAATTTGTTAAAGATGTAATCTAGACCCTCATCCAAATCACCGATAAAAATTTTTGAAAAAAGGATGGAATTCGAAGCATAGTCAACAAATAGCTGGTAAACAAATATTTATTAAATACCTACTATATGCCAGGGGGCAGCTAGGTAGAGTAGTGGATAGAACACTGGGCTTGGAATCAGGAAGACTTATCTTCCTGAGCTAATCTAGCCTTAGACACTAGCTGCGTAATCCTAAACAAGTCACTTAACCCTGTTTGCTTCAATTTCCTTGTCTATAAAATGAACTGGAGAAGAAGTGGCAAACCACTCCAGAATCTTTGCCAAGAAAACTCTAAATGGTGTCACAAAGAGTCGGAGATGACCGAAAAACTACTAAACAACACAACTATGCCAGACACTGTTCTAAGTGCTGGGGACACAAAGAAAGGCAATAGACAGTCCCTGCTCTCAAGGAACTCACAGTCTAATGGACACCCTTGAGACTTCTTTTTTAGAATGATCTAATCCATTTATCAGTATTGTATGGGTAGAATCATTCAGCCATTTATAAATCTACCTAATGATATTACATACATACAGATACAATAAGATATGACTATCAAATAAGAGAAGGCTAACAAATAACTTGGTGAAATCCACAGATATCACATATATAGAGTTTTTCTCATCTACCAAGACTAATAATCCTATTAGAAAAGAAGCAAGGTTATTTGGCATGACTTAAGTTTTAGGAATTCATACTGGCACCTAGTGATCACTACTTCCCTTTTAAACACAGAGAAATCCTCCATTTGATCATGTTTTACAATTCTGCTCAGGATCAGCACTAAACTTACCACTATAGTTTAGAGAACATACGTTTTCCCCCTTTTCAGAAAATAGGCACAGCATTTGACATTCTCCACAGCTCTTTTATTTTCCATGATTTCTCAAAAGACCAGTAACAAACTATCCTCACCTGCAACTTCTCTGAGGCCCTTAGGATGTTATTCAGCTGGGCCAGTGGCTTGCCTTTATTTAGACTAGGTAGGGGCTCTCTTATTGTTTCTTCATCTACTTTGGATTTCATTTTCTTTTGCCTATGTCTATGTTCTACCCTTTCCCAGCTGAAAAATCATTTGCCTTGATAGAAAAATCTCTCCAAAGCTTACTTTATCATTTTGTCTCCTGAAGGCTAAAACTGTCCACTAAGTGAGTCAGGAATTTTTCAAATGCTCTGATTTTAGCTGTGTTCTCCAAAAGATGTCCAGGTACTCAGGTACTTGCCTCTGCGGAAAGCATCATCAGCATCTTCTATCTGATCAGTCACTGAGTAGCATATCATCAGAAATGTATTTCTTACATTTTTTTTCTTCTTTTCTTCTTATCTGCCTTGATTATCACTTCGTTTTCACCTTCAGGCATTGGAATCTCCATAGAGGTTTGCATGCTTTTGCTGTACAGAACCATTCTGTTTCCCCTGCTACTTTCAGATGTTACTTTTTTTTTAAGCAATTAGGGTTAAGTGACTTGCCCAGGGTCACACAGCTAGTAAGTGTCAAGTATTTAGTCTGAGGTCGGATTTGAACTCAGGTCTCCTCCTGACTTCAGGGCCAGTGCTCTATCCACTGTGCCATCAGATGTTACTTTTGAACAAGTTTTACCTTTCCATTGTGGTATTCTATGAGTCTCATCCCACCAATTTTCCGTGATTCCTGTGAGGTCAAAATTACCCTTTTTTGGTTAAAATTTCCAGTTAAACTTGTTTATGAACCATATTATGTTATGTGTGTAGCACCCCCTTTGAGTACACCTCCCCACTTTATACTCACAAGTGTGACTGCCCAGGTTCAAGATACACTTTTGGGTCCACACTCCTAAGCTATAGCTCATGAGCCCCCAGTGATAACATTTACTTACAGTAGTGAGCTAGAATACACGATTAGCTCAAAGTAAAGGCATTTACTTGCATAGCATAAGAGCATTAGCTGAAAAACATCTGTCCCATAAACCTGAACACACTCCATACAGATCAGCAGAAAGAGTGAGCACACACATAGAATATGCTCACAGAGAGACACCTATGGGGAACACGCACGGCCAAGGCAATTCACATCTTTTCAACCTGAGAGTGCCAATTACTTTTCTACTCTCATGGTATTCACAGAGCGTAATTCCTTAGCATGTTCTGCCGGTCTCCCTGGGCCTGCTCCTTCCCAGCTCTTCTCTGCAGCTCAGCACAACTTCACAGCTGACCTCTCTCGGCATGCTGTTTGTGGGGCATGGCATCTCCTGCTTGGCAAGTAGCACCAGTGGGTGGACAGAGGAAAAGGAAATCTCTTCTCCTAATGTACTGTTGAAGAGGCACAAGGAAAAAGGAAAAAAAATATTATTCCATCTCAAGACCTGTGGTCTTATTTCATAGCTGGCTCTCTTCTCAACTACCAGAGATGATTTTATTGTCTATACAACTTCTCAGAACTTGCTTTTTAAAGACCAACAAAGCTATGGCTTCTCCTACTAGCCAGTGGCTAGTAGTCTTATAACTCTACCAAATTAACTGAAGAGTTT